TTAATGGTCTGTTAAACAGGATACAGGGGTCAACCCAGGGCTTGGCAAACAGACCGTATCCAACAAATGTCACACATCTTAACCTCATCCCTTTCCTTAAGACTCCAGGGAAAGTTCACTGTCAACTTTTGCAAGCAGAGGCTATATTTCTACTATGAAAAGTATTTTATCTATATCTATCTCCTATTTTTGGTTGGATTTTGATAAGTGGCAGTTACCAATTGTGCCAGCCAGATTTTGATGCACCACAAACCATCCAAAATTTAGTGACTTTAAACAACCAAATTCTGTTTGTAATTCTGCAGGTCAACAATTTCAGCTGAGCAAAGCTGAGTGGTCCTTTTGCTGTTCTCAGAACGCCTGCTTATGCATCTGTGGTGAGAGCCCCTGGCTCTGCTGGGGGCTAGATGGTCTATCATGGTCTCACCCACATCTGGCAATTGGTTCACCATCAGCTGTGGTGGAGAGAATACATGGGTCCTGGGCCTCTCATCATCCACCTCACCCACACTTCTTCACATTGTTGTTCTCTGTGCCAAGAGCAGCAAGAGGGGGCAAACCCTGGTGTGCAAGTGCTTTTCAATTCTCTGCTGGCTTCACACTTGCTATGGTTCCATCGGACAAAGCAAATTCCATCGCCAAGGCCAAGATACAGGCCTGCATGCACAAATTACAGTCGTTACTGTAACAGTCTACTGTTACCATACTTTGTGAAACAACCACGTTCATCATTAGAGAAATCGTTAACTATGGGTGACCCAGACAGTGGAATGCTAGTCTCCCAAAAATGATTTTTAATCTTCTGCAGAAAAATGAATAGCTATCTTGCCCTATTATCGATCTAATACATGAATAATATATTCATTGTATGAAATTTTGCCAAAAAAACAGTTTGAAATTTTCCTGGCAGTGTACCAAACCGTCAGTTGGGGATCCCCTTATCCAGAAATGTGCTGTGACTTTGCCAGTAATAATTCTTCCTGGAACCTCTTTCCATATTCTAATTTGCTATTCCTCTCCCTTCCAAAAAATATGGCCCTCCAGTTCCATCCACGTTGAAGCAAATGTTGGGTATTTGTCGTTTCTAATGGCTGAGTAATATTCCATTGTATACATAAACCACATCTTCTTTATCCATTCATCTGGAGGGTATTATGCTGAGTGAAGTAAGTCAATCGGAGAAGGACAAACAGTGTATGTTCTCATTCATTTGGGGAATATGAATAATAGTGAAGGGGAATATAAGGGAAGGGAGAAGAAATGTGTGGGAGATATCAGAAAGGGAGACAGAACATAAAGACTTCTAACTCTGGGAAATGAACTAGGGGTGGTGGAAGGGGAGGAGGGCGGGGGGTGGGGGTGAATGGGTGACGGGCACGGAGGGGGACACTTGACGGGATGAGCACTGGGCGTTATTCTGTATGTTGGTAAATTGAACACCAATAAAAATTAATTTATTAAAAAAAAAAAAACAAAAAATATGGCCCCAGCAGAGACCTACTACATAGGCATCCTCTGATGTGGAAGTGATAGACTTAGACTAAAAAGCGGCCCCTCTGGTACAATGAGGAGATAGGATGTGGTAACTATAAAGTAGACTAGTGATGTGGCTAGGGCCTGGTTGGGCCACCCCTCCCCACAGACATCAATCCCACCTCCGGGCTTTGCTGGAATTCCTCTGGATTCATTCATACTATCTTTCAAAGCTGGGCCTAAGCTCTATCATTTTCTACTACAATATCCTAACTATATTGTTCAGGATTCCTTGGTATTTTATTTATTGTGTGATGGTTGATACTGCTACTCTGAATACTATCACTTCCCTATTATATTTTCTATATGATTACTACTGGAATACATGAAAGCATCCGTACTTTAAATATTAACATTTCATTCTGCCATTGGAAAGAATTCATTTTTACATCATTTCTTAGGCTTTTTCCAAGAAGATATTCATATCATTTGGAAATAATGAAAATTTTGTCTTCTTTACTGTAACAATGCTTTTTTCTCTTTACATTCTCCTTACACTGGAAAGACCATGTAAAGCAAAATTTAATCATACTGGTGATAATTTGCCCAGATCCTGATTGTAGTGGAATTTCTTCTAGTTGTTTAACATCGTTTGTGTATTTGTCTATTACACACACTGAAGAATACAGCCTGCTAATATCTATGTTCCTACTTTGTTTTTAATTACAGGATGTCACATTCCTTCAACTGTTCTTTGACCATCCATTAAACATTAAAATATGGTCAATAGTAGTAGTATCTCTATTGGTTGAAGTCATTCTCTTTATGTCTCCATTTTATCATTTTCTTCATATGCAACCCACACGTTTAGTCATATTATGCTCTAGATATTGCAGGTGTCTGTTGCCACTGGGAACAGGATCGTTTTTATGAGCTATTCTGGGCATAAATGGAGTAGAACAGAACCTGAGAAGCTGATCTAACTTGTTATTTAAAAATTGAGCTGTTGGAACTAGAGAGTATAATGGTAAGGGAAATAAGTCACTCGGGAAAGACAATTTTCATATGATCTCACTCATATGTAGAATTTGAGAAACAGAACAGGATCATAGGGGAAGGGAGGGAAAATTAAACAAGATGAAATCAGAGAGGGAGACAAATCATAATAGACTCTTAATTATACGAAACAAACAGGGTTGCTGGAGGGGAGGAGGTGGAGGAATGGGGTAACTGGGTGATGGACATTAAGGAGGGCATGTGATATATTGAGCACTAGGTATTATATAAGACTGATGAATCACTGACCTCTACCTCTGATACTAATAATACACTATATGTTAATTAATTTAATTTAAATTTAAAAAGGGAAAATTTTTTAAATAAAAATTGGGCTGTTGGGGAACATAAGTGCCTCAGTCAGTTAAGCGTCCAACTCTTGATTCAGCTCAGGTCATGATCTCAGGGTCGTATCAGGCTCCACACTGGGCGTGTAACCTGCTTAAGATTCTCTCTCTCTCTCTCTCTCTCTCTCTCTCTCTCTCTCTCTCTCTCTCTCTTCGTCCCTCTGCCCTTCCCCTCCCCATTCACGCACTCCCCTTCTCTCCCTCTCTCCCTCCCTCCCTCTCTCTCTCTTTCTCTAAACAAACAAACAAACAAACAAAAATTCCTTTGCACTTACATTTCAGATTCAATTTCCCTTTGATGAGGGATTATTTCCCTGGAAAAGTGAGTTTCCATGATCCTGGTTGCTTGATGCCAGCAGAGGGATTGTGGGTAAGAGAGAGACAAAGATGCCTAAGCTGCAGTATGGCAAAAGTTGGGGGACATCAGAGGTCTTCTCCATAAGGCTACTGTTAGAGCAGGGAAACAGTAAGAAAAAAAAAATGAAAAGGTGAGGGAAGGCTTTTGGTTGTTAAAGTTTTCCTGGGATGGACCACTTCTTGGCCAAGAGGACAGCATGACCAAACAGAGAGGTGGTGAGGGAGCACCAAGTGGCTTTGCCTGAGTCCCACACTAGGAGCCTTGTAAACATCAAACTGAAAACTATTAAGGGCTTTCCATAGGTATGTTTTCCAAAACCCAAAGCAGCACCCATCAGTGAGAAAGAGAGAGAAGGGTAGAGTGTGTGGAGGGTGAAGATTGTTGGGACTTAATAAAAGGAGACTTGGGGTGGTTCTGCAGCTGTTGGGTGAAAAGGACTCCAAGTGCCAAGGGCTGATACAAGTAGGCGAGAAGTTTACTGTTAGGAAACTGAGGAACAGAGGTTAGGTAAGAGGTCAATAGGAGTTCAAGAAAAGTGTTAAGTTATGGGCTGTGCCAACATGCCCAGCAAGGCCAAGACCCTGACATCCTGAATAAAGGAGACCTCATTTCAAATGGAGTCAGGAGGCCAGCAGGGAGAGCTCTCACGCCCTACCACTGCAGGCCATTGCAGACCCCAACAAAGACAAACTGCTTGGCATTCCCAACAGGAAGAAGCTTACTTTCCCTACTCCAGCAAGAGAAAAAAAGAATTTCTCCTCGCCCAGCAACAAGCTCAGCCAATAGGAAAATACCACAACTGGGCTAATGAGAAACCGTCAGCACCTAGAACTGTTGCTGTCCTTTGTGTGGACTTTGCCTTCACAGCAGTCCCTCCCAACCATCTCCTTTTCCCCAGAAAGTTCCAAAAAATCCAAAGATTCCTCTGGTCTCATCTCCAGACTGGCCTATGGGGTGCCATAGTTTGCATGTCCCGAATTGCAATTCCTCTGCTACACCCAAATAAACCCATTTTGCTGATAAACTATAACCGGCTGTGTTACCTTTTAGGTGGACAAACCCGTTGAAGAAGTGAAAGGACTGATATGACTCAGCAAAGATTAGGTACTGCTTTGCCAAGAATACTGAGGACCATTTTGACGACAATGGGCCCTCATAACCCGTAAGTCAGTAGCATTCATTATGGGGCGATGATGATGCCCTTGACCTTATCGTCTGTAAAATAAGTGTAGGTGTTTCATGCAACTTGCTGAGGAGGATGAGGAGAAAAGTCTGGCCGCGCCACAGCCAAGTTCCACGCAAAGGCACACGTGGAAACGATCTCGGCCACAGTCACAGCGCGGGAATTGAACTCCCTGAGGAAAGAGATTCCCAGCCCGGGAGGTGCGGGGCGCCTGCGCAGTGGGCCCGAGGCGCCTCACGCGCTGCGGGAGCAGCGAGACCCCCGCCTCCGCCCCTCGCCCTCCAACGTGAACGCGCACGTGAATGTGGACGCGGACGCGCACGCGCACGCGAATGCGCCTCACCTCACTCAACCCCTGCGGGGCGGCTGAGGAGGGAAAAAGACGCCCACAGGAGCCGCGGGTGGGCTGTGTGCGGAGTGGCAGACCCGCCGCGACGGCGGCGGCAGGCGCGGGGGCGGCGGCGCGGGCGCGGCGGCGCGCGCGGGGGGCGGCGGCGCCTCGTCCACTCAGGCGGCTGTGCTCGGGACCCTCCGGCCCGCACGAGGGACGAGCTAACTGACGTACCTCGCCCGCCCCCACCCCCGCCCCATCTCTCCTCGGGTTCCTGGGACTCAGGGCTAGAGCGCTTTCTCTCCTTGCACCTCTCCTCAGCTCTTTCTCTCCCCGGCACCTCAGGCAGCAGCGGCAGCGAGCGGCGGGAGCGGACGGCCCAGAGGATGAAGTGCAAGCCGAACCAGACGCGCACCTACGACCCGGAGGGGTTCAAGAAGCGAGCGGCGTGCCTGTGCTTCCGGAGCGAGCGCGAGGACGAGGTGCTGTTAGTGAGTAGCAGTCGGTACCCGGACCGCTGGATCGTGCCGGGCGGGGGCATGGAGCCCGAGGAGGAGCCGGGCGGTGCAGCAGTCCGAGAGGTGTACGAAGAGGCGGGAGTGAAGGGGAAGTTAGGCCGGCTCCTGGGCATTTTCGAGCAGAACCAAGACCGCAAGCACAGAACGTACGTGTACGTACTGACTGTCACTGAGATTCTGGAGGATTGGGAAGATTCGGTTAGCATTGGGAGGAAGCGAGAGTGGTTCAAAATCGAAGATGCGATCAAGGTTCTCCAGTGCCACAAGCCCGTGCATGCCGAATATCTGGAAAAACTAAAGCTGGGCGGTTCCCCAACCAATGGAAACTCCGTGGCCGCGTCCCTGCCACAGAGCGATCCCTAGTATGTACGGCTCCTGCACAGACTTCTGCTTTCCGCCTATCTTAGAATACATAGTGCCCGGAGCACCTCTCATTCCTTTGCGGTCTCACGGGGAGGAGGGGGGCTTCTTTTGTTTCCTTGGCAGACCTCTGAATCACGCTTGCAAACTGTCTCGGTTGCCAGACACTGTTTTCAGACAATTTGCACGTTTTTCAGATGCTTTCAAAATTGCTGCTTGGTAGCACTGTAACAGATTTCCTAAATCCTAAGCCACATGTTTTTTTTTTTAAAGGTGCCTTAACTGCTTGCCCAGCCCTTTGTGTGTGTGTGTTGATGCTGTAGTTTATTACATTGCACACACGTGTGTGTGTGCGCGCGTGCGTGTTTTTGGTACCAATCTTGTGGTTTGTTTTGGAGTGAAGGCCTTTCAAATCTGAACATCTTGGTTGTGTGGCATCTGTATTTTTTGCTTTCTCATTCGCAGCATTAGGCCTTGCTAGCAAGCCCTTTTGTGATGGAAATTGGTTTAAAGATCAGATAGATATAGATCTATATATATTTTTAAAGTATTTAAGAAATTTTACATCTTGTGGTCTTTCCACAGTGGGCAACAATTTTCGGTTCAGTAATGTGATCTAATTTGCCCTTTTCAGAAGTTTCTTTACCCATACGTACATGATTTCATTTTCTTTTTTTTTTTTTTTTATGATTTCATTTTCAAAAGAATTCTGACCAGTGGTCATTTGTTGCTGCATATTTGAAATGGCCATTTCCCATATAGCCCAAATGTAGTTTCAGATTATATTACTTTATACACTAAGTATCTTCTTGGGAAAGTATTGTTAGCCAAACATATCCTGATATGTATATACTGTCATGAAAACTGTATTCATCGAGTGTAATTTAGCGTGTTCAGCTTCCAACTCCATTGCCCATTTCTTAATACTGTAGAGCAACCATGGTTTTCTCAATATAAACTAGTCTTTGAAAGAAAGTTATTTCACATATTTGAATTTTGTGACATTCCAGTTAACCTTCCTGACTACCAGTAACCATAGGAGTGGAATTTATATGGTGATTACATCCCAATCCAGTGAGGAACCCGTCTTGCTACTCAGTTTTTACAGACTTCAGCTTTTACAGATTTCTTAAACCATCCGGACCCCTGAACAATCTCTTAAAGATTTAGGATAATTTTTTTTGTTGGTCACAGGTCAAACTTTTTGGGGGCATCTAATTAAAAGGTCTTGCATTTGCTTCAGTAGTTGTTTGAAATCAGGAATCTTGTTTAAAATGCATAGGTCTGTCTTCTTAAACTACCTTTATTCTCTTAGCCATGTCAGCAGTTAGGTAGAAGTAAAGCCTTTGTGAAGAGGGTATTAGGGATGGAAATTTAATGCCACATATAACACTTAAACATTTTAACAACATTCCAGTAGTTATTAATGAATATAAAGTAGAAAATAAGGGTCATTTAAAATTTTGTTAGTCAAAATAACCTGTTTTAAACACAATTACTGCTGAAAATTTAAGTTACTTTTTCTTAAAAGTTATTATGCTGTTTTTCAACACACAGAGCGATGCACAAATCTTAACTGTACAGCTTAATCAATTCTTAGATAGTAAATACATGTATGTAACCAGAATTCAGATTAGGAAATTAACATTACCTGTAACTCAAAGGCAATTGCATTTCTCCTCCTAATTAGTATTTGCTTTCTTATCTTTTAAGACTATAGAATAGTTCTATTTTTGAAATTTGTCGGTTGAGATTTAGATTATAAACTTTTTTTGTGCTGCCCCCTTGTGTTGTTTGTTTTACTTTTCGAAATACTCAGTTTTTTCTCCATTTGGTTTGTACTGTAATTCTACAAATTACAATATGTTTATAAATTGGTGTTAAAAAGTGAGTTCTGTTGTACTTTCTTTTTTTGGAATTGTTGTACTTTCTAAAGAAATTTGATGCCACTATTTTGGAAACAAGTCTTGTTACAAATTTAAGCACAGATGAAGTACAGGTTTCAATTCACAAAATATTTTCCGTAGTAAAGCTATCAAAGTAAACTAAAAAATGAGTAAGTTTTTAAAACCAGTGACAATTTCATCATCTGAATTATATAGTTTGATAAAATATGGCTATTTATTTTTTTCTATTTTTTTTCTCTTAAAAAGTGTTATGTAGGGATGCCTGGGTGGCTCATCAGTTGAGCGTCTGCCTTCGGCTTAGGGTGTGGTCTGGGGTCCCAGGATGGTGTCCCAGATTGGGCTACCTGCATGGAGCCTGCTTTTCCCTCTGCCAATGTATCTGCCTCTCTCTCTGTGTCTCTCATCAATAAATAAAATCTTTTTTAAAAAGTGGTATGTATTTAATATCTATTTGAGCACGTTTAATTTCAAACAACCTCATATTGACCCTAATATATCTTTCCCCAGTTACCTAGTTATTCAAGAAGATTCTTAAGTTCTACCTTAACAGAGCAGACATGTTGGATTTTTATTTTATATATTTTTGTCAATGAAAACCCCTTCCACCTGAAATGCTGCCACAAATGTCTTGGAGGCTTACTTAACTTGTACTTGTTATTCATGGAGGTAATACTGCATTATTTTATTTGGTTCTTAAGTATGTAACAAAGGCAAAAATCCAGTGTTCATATTAACCTAATAGGTTAATAATATTAAGTATTATTGGCCTATAAATATGTTGTGAGCTTTTTTTCCTTCCTTTTTGACAAACATTTAGAATAAGTCATATTTTTCAGGATTGACTGTCAGGTTCATTTAAGTGGTTTTTGTGAAATACTTTCTAGAGCCTAGCCTTGTCGGAATAGTTAAAAGTTCCAAGGAGATTCTTTTTTTTCTCTTTAAGACCAAGAGTTTCAGGCCAAAACAGGTAACCAGAGTTAGTATATAGAAAATTTCCAACACCTCAGCACTCCAAAAATTGAGGCACAGTTTGGATTTCTTTTCCTTCTAAGATTGTTAAAAATTCACTTGAACATTGTTTGGTTTTTCAGCTCTCCCCTTGATAAAAAAAGGGAAAGGAGTACTCCACAGATAATTAAGGTTGCAGATATGCATCAGAAATTTATTTTCTGCATGTTTTATAAATGGCTTACATTTTCAGCAGGTCAAATAGTTTATTCTTGTTAATGTTTTCACATTGGGGGTTAATATATAGACACATAGGTGAACTGGAAATACTTGATGCTCTGTCTATAAAGTGTACTTTTTTTCAAGAAATGATGTGTGTATATATACACACACATGCATACACACAATATATATTTGGCTAAGCAAGAGCTTTTACTTACAGGCATCCCATGTGGGAGAGCCACCAGGCACCACCAGAGTTTTTAAATATTTTCTTGGCAGCTGTCTCCTGATAAACTGTTATACTGTATTTAGCAGATTTTAAATGTTCCTGGGCAAAGAACACTATGAGAACTGGAAAAGTCACTATGATAACAAGTAAAACATGATATTTTTAGGAGACAGTTTGGTGTGATACAAACTATAGTTGGGGTTTTTAAGTTAGGCTTAGGGTTGGAAACCTGGCTCCAGTTCTTGCTCACCCTAACTTCAGCCAAGTTATCTAACTATCTGATGCTCAGGGTTTTTTAAAATATAAAATTTGAGATAATAAAAATAGATACTTTATAAACTCCAATGGGAAGTCTTTCCTGACCACTGGATTAAGATACTTTCTTCTGTGTGTAATGGTTCATGGTTCTCACAGTTTACTTATTTGCATGGTTGTGTGGCTAGACCACAGACCTTTTGATGGGTGAGTACTAGCCTGAATTATTTCCATAAGCCTATAGTCCAGAACATGGAATTTAAAATGTTTTGTTTTACATGACCACCTATCTTTTCTGCAAAACGTGTAGTAGCTTTGCTTTCCTGACTTTTCTGTTTCATAATATAACTTGGAACTCCCTCAGCTACTGATTCAGACTTAAATTGCACCTGCATTAGATTATTCTGTGAAGACTTTCCCAAGGCAAAGTGAGTGATGCAGATAATAGGCCCTTCATAAATTTGTCAATTGGAGGAACTGTTAAATTAGTATATATACCTGCTAATTATATGTTGGTTTGTTTTTCCAGATGAACAGCAAAGATTTCAGTATTGCTTGAAAGAATCATTGATGTGAACCATTGATCAATGGACTTTTCAAGTAGAGGTGAGCGTTTCCAAGGAGACAGCTCATCTGATTTTCCTCCTACATCTTGGGACACTCCTTATCCATCTATTTCCACTGACAACTCTTGCCCTGGTTGTTATACTATTGTACATGAACACTCTTACTTCAACACCTATAGCCTTTTGTTGTGCTTTTTTTTTTAATGTGTCTGCCTTCTCCATTAGACTGATATCCTTGAGAGCAAAGACCACGATTTCTTAATCTTTGCATATTCTGTATGTGAAACACTACTTGAAATATGAGTGACATCACCGATTCTTTGATTCAATTCATATTTTGTTATCACCATATGGCAGAACATTCCTGTTTCAATCTGGTGCTAGTAGAATATATGCTGTCTAGGCATCATGTATGTGGCTTTCCTGTATCATGTGTTTCAGAAACTTTTCAAGCCAGTTGTAAGATGTTCAAGGACAAGAGTTATTACTCATATTTCTATGTCATATCACACAGTGGCTAGCACCATTTTGAGATTACCCCATCACATAGGGCAATATTTTGTAGAATCACTCCTTTGTGTAACAACTTCAGTATTTTTGTACTGTTGTTACTTTGCTGAAATTTTTATTCGAAAAATAGCACTTGCTATAAAACTGCTATAAAATACAGTGAACACAATATTGTGAATTTTTATAAAAATAAATTTTAAGATAATATACAAATGATTTATTTAATGTTTTTGCAATGCCCAAGCACTTCTTTCATGTAATTTTAACATGCCTTTAAAGAAGATTGTTTTTCTCATTTTATAAGTTCAGTATACAGTATACTGTATTATTTGATGCCAGAGCCAACAAAAACTGCAGTATAGGCAGTTTCCAAAGTTAATTATACCACTTACTTTGCCTAGGTTTCTTTTGCATCTCTTACTGATTCTGTTGGCCAATTTTCAACCCCTTTCTAACACACTTAGCTGGGTTCTCGTTCTACCTGGTCTCTGCATGTGAGAATATGGAGGACTGAGAGACAGCTGAATTGTTACCACTTAGAAAAGGCATTGAAGAAAAAAATTCCTGTCAGAGGTGGGGACAGAATATGAAGAATTTATATAGGGAGGACTTGGGTCAGCTGTCTCCAGAGAGCAACTTTAAGAAAAGGACAAAGATGTTTAGGGATAGTCTTATGGAGTTTTGCCATGGGATGTGTAATGTCAGCACTCTTACCCAGCTTCCTGCAAAGGTCTCAAAGTGGCTTTAATATGGTAGTTTTCTTTCCTTTGCATTTATAAACGCAATTACATCAGAAAAAACATGAGTTCCATTTTAGGTGAGTGTTACACCCTCATGGTACCAGTGAAATATTTCACAAGATCCTCCTGGCCAACTTTTTGGCCCAAACTGAGGCCCTGATGAAGGGGAAGTCAACAGAGGAGGCCCGGAAGGAGCTGCAGGCCGCAGGAAAGAGTCCAGAGGACTTAGAGAAGCTGTTGCCACACAAGGCCTTTGAAGGAAATAGCCCAACAAACTCTATTGTGTTCACCAAGCTCATGCCATTCATTCTGGGAGCCTTGATTGCCATGTACGAGCACAAGATCTTCATTCAGGGTGTCATCTGGGACATCAACAGCTTTGACCAGTGGGGGGTGGAGCTGGGAAAGCAGCTGGCCAAGAAAATTGAGCCTGAATTTGATGGCAGTAGCCCAGTCACCTCTCACGACTCTTCCACGAACGGGCTAATCAACTTCATCAAGCAGGAGCGTGAGGCCAGAAGCCAATAAACTCATGCCCGGCTGCAGTCCCTTTGTAACTGGTCCTTGTCTCTCCTCACCAGAGATGCGCTGCACAGTCTTTCCCAGAGCACCCTCTGGTTGCGGGCTTGGAGCACAAGCCCTTTGGGGGAAGCCGGTCTGGAATTGCCACCCCTGCCCATCCATGTCCGTGTGCCCTCTGTTTTATGATTGACTGAAATGTTCCAATGCAGCTGATTTTTCTGACCGTGTTCGTGAACCAGATAGAAAAATAAAGATGCCACAAAGGAGAAAAAAAAAGAAAAAAAAAGTTAACTAATTGTTAACTCAGTCCTTACAGAATTGAAATCACACATCTCCCAATTTATTGGTTTTTTTTTTTTTTTGTAGATGTGATATGGTACTCTGGTTATGTTTTTTTTAATCTTTATCTTTTAAAGAAACGTACCATAAATTTTACAGATGAAATGATATGCTACTGGTATTTGCTTCAAAATAATCTGAGGGTGGGGTAGGTGAGCATATAGATGAAATAAGATTGGTGGTAAGTTTATAATTTTTGAAGCCATGTAACAGATATTTGGGAGTTCATTATACTGTTCTCTATACTTTTGTATATATTTGAAATTTTCCATAATAAAAATTGAAAAACAATTCTTCATTGTCTATTTGTAGGTCCTTGCTATCCTTAAAATTTAAGTAGGGAAGGCTGGTTAGAAGTCAGATCTATAGCCCAGATAGACACACTCACCCCTCCTCTTCAAAAACCTAGGCTTTGTTCCTGAACTAAACATATTGGTAGACTTGCTCTTCCTTTAATATGAATTATTTCCTTGGAAGTCTCCCAGTTCAACTTGCAAAAAGACTTTTAGCCTCATCAACACACCAAACATGACCAGAAAACTTTGAACCCCAATGGTGGACATGAACTTAGGTTCCAGGTGAGACAGTACTCCCATTCTACAATTTAGCTTTTTTTTTAAAAAAAAAAAACGATTTTATTTATTTATTCATGAGAGGCACACAGAGAGGCAGAGAGACTTAGGCAGAGGGAGAAGCAGGCTCCCCCCAGGGAGCCTGTTTTGGGACTCGATCCCAGGACCATGGGACCATGCCCTAAGCCTAAGGCAGATGCTCAACCACTGAGCCACCCAGGTACCCCTCTACAATTTAGCTTTAAAAAAACTAAATTTTTTTCTGATTAGGAAATTAATTTATCTTAATTTCAGGAAATTTGGAGAATTCCCTCCAGAGCAAATTAATAAAAAATCACACATGATCCCCCTACCCAGAATAGCCATATTTGAAAAATATATATATCTATATATAAATATATTCCAGCCTTTTTCTCTTCAAATATATGTTACCCAAGCAGATGGCACAAGTGAGCCCCCTTCCCACCAGAATATTTTCAAAAATCCATGACCCCTTTTATTGTTAAGCATGTACCACATAGGTAGTACCTTGTTCCTCAGAATTTTTTAGGCTAATGATTAGGGCCATTACACCATTTTTTTGCTACTTCTGTCCTGCGCATGCGCAGCTCAAAACTTGAGTCTGAAATCCAAACCATGCCTTTTACTCCTGATGCATGACAGAATAACCCTGTTTTGTTTTTTGTTTTTTGTTTCCTAATTTCCACATACACTTTCTGCTCACCAAACTGGTAGGAATGGGAGGCATCGATTCAGAGGCAGTGCCACTTTAATAAATTACAGTTGCAATATATTGGCTAAAAGTAGGCTTGCTACTCTTTTGTTTTCCAGGAAGTTCCTTCTATCTTCTCTGGATCCTCAGCAAGCTACCATATCACTATCTCTCTGTAGCCTCTGATCCTCATTAGGTTGCTGCCCCTCTGGGCACAGTGGTTTTCAACTGTTAAACAAGGACACCACTCTTCTGGACTCTGGGAATGGAATCCTGTTCTCCCTCTTCTTTCTACTCCAAGATGTATCCTCATATTTCCCTAATTTCCTGCAACACACAAGAGACCAGATTAAATTTTAATAAGATTTTACTGAAGATTACCAGGTTATGTGAGGAAATGTAATACAAAAGCACAATTTATAACTATTGCACAGGTCATACATTTTCTAGGTTCCAATGCTAGACTAGTTCCCTAGCACTGGCTGACTCCAAATGGCCTAGGGACATCTTCCATCCCCCATTCCCCATCACTACTAAGAGCTGAGAGTACAATTTCAAATCTTGTACAAAATGATTACCATACCCATGGAGAAGGGAGAGCTTTTCCTGCAACTCAATCTCTAACCAGTACTTAAGGTATGTTAAATATATAGTCCCAGAATCAAAGAAGTGAACCTGAAATTAATGGAATGGATCAAGGAGCTGTGATGGGTTGGGGATGGAAGTTCAGTTTTATATTATTCCAAAGTTCATGTTCTATACTAAGAATAAACAAGACTGGGGAGGCCTGGGTGGCTCAGCGGTTGAGCGTCTGCCTTCAGCTTAGGGCGTGATCCTGGAGTCCTGGGATCGAGTCCCACATTGGGCTACCTGCATGGAGCCTGCTTCTCCCTCTGCCAATGTTTCTGCCTCTCTCTTTGTGTCTCTCATGAATAAATGAATAAAATCTTAAAAAAGATAATACTGACAATATAGTGAATTTGGTGCTCTACCTTCTTCTGGATGGTAAACATGGGGAACCAAAAAGCCCGCCCACAGTACAAGAAGACTTAACACCTTTCCCTGTGCAAGCCTACACAGCAGTATGAAGAAGCAGATCAGGACCTCTGGAAGTTTAGATTTATTTGGGGCCAGTGCTGAGGGTATAGAGGATTTAGAACAGGATTGGTAACAATTCTCTTTTCCTTTTGTCTACCCACTCAAACTTAGATCCTGTTTTTTGACTGTTAAAAAGACAAATAGACTGCAGAGTCATTCTTAGTATAGGTATCTTCCACTTTTCAAAAGTTCAGATTAGGCCCTTCTTTTTTATGAAAAACCTACATTAGTACAGTAGCCCCCCCCCCATTACCCATGGTTTTGCTTTCTGAAGTTTTATTTACCCACAGTCAACCATGTTCCAGGAACAGATAATCCTCTGACCTATCATCAGAAAGTCAATAGTAACCTAATACTACATCACAATGCCTGTATAAGTCACCTCACTTTATCTCATCATGTAGGCATTATTTTATCATCTCACATCATCACAAGAAGGGTAAGTACAGTACAAGAAGATTATTTTGACCACATTCACATAACTTATTATATGTTATAATTCTTGTATTTTATTATCAGTTATTGTTCATCTCTTACTGTGCCTATTTTACAAATTAAACTTTATCATATGTATGTATGTATAGGAAAAAAACAGTATATGTAGGGTTTGGTATTATGCTTGGTTTCAGGTATCCACTTGGGGGTCTTGGAACATATTCCCTGTGAATAAGGAGGGACTACTGTACCTGTTTTTGCTAAATGAAAGAAATCTGAAGAGAATTCTTGCTTTTACCAAAAAAAAGGCAGAAAAAAGCAACAATAGTGTTCAGTGTTTGTTTTGCAGCAACCCCTTATAGGGCAGTGTACACCCCAGCAGTGAGAGTGGCCCCACCAAGTTCCTTCCCTGGGAACTATACTCAACATTTCTGCATGAAGCCACAAATAGCTTTGAAATGTATCTGTGAGCATCTGTACTTTATTTCCATTACATTTATTAGCAAGATGTGTCTTAAGGTATCAGAAAAACCCAAGAGGTTATTTTTGGGTCTGGAACACTCAAAAATTTTTCCATATAAATGAATGGTAATCTCTTCTCCACTTTCTGCCAACTTATGAAAGATTTCATAGGAATGCTCTACCGTTGGATAGTGGGGGAAACCTGTATATGGTACCAGCAGTGACATCTATCTCCCTAGTGGACATTTTATGAATTAGCCCAATCCTCGGTGTATTCTATTTAGAGCAAAGAAACCTTTCCCAGGAACACTCTGCTACCCAAGGATACCCCACTGTTCAAATCTATTTTGAATTACCATATTCTAATACTGAATTAAATATTAATATGTTGTATATAAGAAGAAAGATTCTCTAGCATGTTCCAATCAGTAAAATTTTTAGTTCTTTAAGTTGTGTTTTTTTCATCTAACCTGGTAGATAAATAGGAAAGTATTTGCATTTATATGATATCTCCATCCCTACAACTGAGCTTTAGCTGTGATAAACTAAACTATTCAGAACTATTAGAACTCTAGGCCAACACAGTGACTTCTTGCAAGATACATCCACTAAAGCAAAAGAAACAAAAGCAAAATGAACTATTGGGACTTCATCAAGATAAGAAGCTTTTGCACAGCAAAGGATACAGTCAACAAAACTCAAAGACAACCTACAGAATGGGAGAAGATATTTGCAAATAACATATCAGATAAAGGGCTAGTTTCCAAGATCTATAAAGAACTTATTAAACTCAACAGCAAAGAAACAAACAATCCAATCATGAAATGGGCAAAAGACATGAACAGAAATCTCACAGAGGAAGACATAGACATGGCCAACATGCACATGAGAAAATGCTCTGCATCTCTTGCCATCAGGGAAATACAAATCAAAACCACAATGAGATACCACCTCACACCAGTGAGAATGGGGAAAATTAACAAGGCAGGAAACCACAAATGTTGGAGAGGATGTGGAGAAAAGGGAACCCTCTTACACTGTTGGTGGGAATGTGAACTGGTGCAGCCACTCTGGAAAACTGTGTGGAGGTTCCTCAAAGAGTTAAAAATAAAACTGCCCTAGGACCCAGCAATTGCACTGTTAGGTATTTACCCCAAAGATTCAGATGCAATGAAACGCCGGGACACCTGCACCCCGATGTTTGTAGCAGCCATGTCCACAGTAGCCAAACTGTGGAAGGAGCCTCGGTGTCCATCGAAAGATGAATGGATAAAGAAGATGTGGTTTATGTATACAATGGAATATTACTCAGCCATTAGAAACGACAAATACCCACCATTTGCTTCAACATGGATGGAACTGGAGGGTATTATGCTGAGTGAAGTAAGTCAATCGGAGAAGGACAGTGTATGTTTTCATTCATTTGGGGAATATGAATAATAGTGAAAGGGAATATAAAGGAAGGGAGAAGAAATGTGTGGGAAATATCAGAAAGGGAGACAGAACATAAAGACTCCTAACTCTGGGAAACGAACTAGGGGTGGTGGAAGGGGAGGAGGGCGGGGGGTGGGGGTGAATGGGTGACGGGCACTGAGGGGACACTTGACGGGATGAGCA